TCAACAAGGGGTCTCATAATAATCCCTTCTAACTCAGTTATTTTACAACTAGCCACTTCAGGGGCCCCTGCAACTTAGGGATTAGCTTCTCTTACATCACCTGTGGGCTTTCTCCCCCTGCTCCTCTGCCCACCATGGTACTGAGTGTGGTCTGGAACTCGCACATGTTCACCGACTTCCTGTGCTTCTGTTATCTGTGGTGAGTAGGGCCTTTTGTTCTGGGCTCACAGCTTCTCACAGCAGCTTCCCTGCCTGTGACCTCCTTTGCACAGAAGCACACGCACTGAGAAGCCATGTTATGTCTCAGAAAGGAATTGGTGCTAGAGAGCTGGCTGGTGTCTCTGCAGCCACTGCTACCTCCGCAATAATGCTAGGCAAAAAAGAGGATAAAGCAGGGTACAACCAATAGCTCGGGACACCCCAGCCCTCACCACTACTGCAGCAGCACCTTCAGCTCACCCTGGCCTTGACCCGCAACGCTGACTCTAGCCCTGGCCCCAGGAATCCCGGGGCAAGAAAGGAGCTTTTGCTGCTTCCCTGTCATGAAAAACAAAGGCTCAACAGAGTGTAATCTTTCCAAAGTCACCCAGGTGGAAACCAGAGTGAGACCCACGTCCCATCCAGTCTGCTTGCACTTTGGAAAGTCTACACTTTGTATAAAATGCAACCCATTAAAATACTCAGGAGCCAGGTCTCTCCTCCTATTCCTCCCTGTAGTTTAGATTCGCCATTTGCCTGGAAGATAGGCTAATGAATTTTATCTATGCTGATTCCTGTAAAGCTGCACCAGGGTAACATTTAGGAGACTAGCTTCTGTGGGAGCATGTTATTAATAACGGAAGCCAAACAGCTAAGATTGGATTGTTTCCCAGTCAATCAAGGTTATGAACTTCTTCCTGTGATTAATTTCACCCCCCTAGCTGACAAAAATTGTTGGTAATCATGTAGACATTGCCAAAACCTCCAACATTCCCATTGGCTATAATCCAGTCAGCTTAGAAGCCTCAATTCCAGTCTAGAAGTCTGTAGCAGTCCCTATGTAATCCAGATGTCCATCCCTTCTGCTCTTACTCTTTTCTGTTTTTTTGAAAAAACTTTGTTATTCAAGAGAGGCTGGACAGCCTGTCTTCCCTACAGCACTCTGCATGTGTGTCATATTTTGCTCTTACTCTCAATTTGATTAATTATAAAAGTAAAATAAAATAAGGATGACCTCAGTCGTGTAGCTCCTCTGGCCTGTGGACAGCTCTTCTGCGCAGCCTGTGGAAGCCAGCTGCAAGGGCCATCTGTCTTGAGCCTTCTCTCATTTGACCATCTCTAAATGGCAGGGGTGAGTGAGAATGGTTAACACAGTGGACAGCCCATCATTCTTGACTACAGCCAGGAAAATATGTGGCTCTTAAATGTCGTTGTCCTGGCCATGGTCTCTGCCAGTGCTGAAACATTGTCCATGATGAGGACCTTAAGTTCGGGACACCATGATGCATCAGGTGGCCATGTATGTTCCTAGTCTTCTTTTTCCTGACACTGTTTATGTTTGCATTTCAGGCCAGTCAAATCTAAGTAGGTTTGCCAGAGTACTCCATCAAATATAAGTAGGTTGATGTAAATATTTGACCTGAACTTTTGTATTTTAATTCTGTATCCAGTAGCCTAGAGTTTTGAAATATGAAAATCAGTCATCTCAGCCAGACATGGTGGTGCATGCCTGCTGACACGGCATTCAGGAGGCTAAGACAGGAGGATCATGAGTTCAAGGCCAACCTGGGTTTCCTGGTGAGTTCAAAGCAAACCTGGACCGCACCAGTGAGACCCTGTCTCAAAAAACAGAAAGCAAAAACAAAGAAAGGAAGTAAATTATCTCAGGTGTAAGGTAATAAAGTTTTGATTGAAACTCAACAAAGATCTGGAGAGAACATGTGGCAAGCAGGAATAGGACCTGGATCTAAGGACCTGGATCAGCACCTTGCCTTACATATCAGTTGTACTTCAAGAGCTCTTCATCCAAAACAGCTCTCCTTTGTGACCACTTTCAGATTATTTACATGTCACATGTTGTTCCGGTCTGACAAACCCTTGGCGATTTGGTTTCTGAAGAAGGGAATGTCACATTTGGATCTGACGGATACCAGCATGGGGAGATGGCTTGAGCAGGACAGTAGAAGGCAGGACACAGGCAGAGAGATGGGCTGGTGTCAGAGGCTGGGAAGGTGCCTGGGAGTGGTACACACCTGGAGAGAGGTCCAGCAGCATGCCTGAGACGCACCAGCATCCCCAACACCCAAGCTGCCAACTGTAATTAAGGGGAGTCACTCCTTTTACCTGTGATTGTTTTGAATAGCCAGTTCTCACCTCCTAAACAGAATGCTGGACCCTCACACATCCGCTGTGGTGTTATTCTATATATTAATACATAGTACAAGTTCTCAATATTTGGTTAAAACTGCCCTGCCTAGAATTAAAAAGAAGTCAAACAGAACATACCTCTTTGTGTTTAGACCACTAGAGGCCCAGAACTATTTTCTCTGTTTCTCTTTCTCTCTCTTTCTCATTCTTGGCATGTAAGGTACCACATGTGCCCCAAACCTCCATTTCCCAGTGAAAAGTATAGAGACTTTTGTTTGTGTATCTGTTTTGTTTTGATTTCTGGATGATCCAATTTAAGTAAATCAAGAAGGGAGATGGTAGAATTCAGTAGATACTCATTATTTGCAAATGTTTGGCTTCACATTTTAAAAATCACGCATGCACTTTTTGTTTCAATGCTGTGTACTGTGGTTTGTATATAGATGTCCCACCCAAAGCCTCAGCAGTGCTGAAACTTGGCAATCCTAGAAATACACTAAATGCCTTTTGCATAAAAGAATGTAGATGAATCTTTGGGGGACAGGGAGAAATGTTACGTTGTGTAGATGTCCCCCCAAACCTCATGCAGTCATCAGTGGGGCTTTTTCAGAGGTAGCTGGCCCTAGAGTGTGTGACTTGGAATTAATTCATGGGGCAGTGGATCGGGGATACTAGGCTTACGGGTGTAAGTGCTGCCACCTTGGATAGGCTGGATGAGGTATAAGGATAAAAAGAGCTGTGGCCATCCCTGGTTGCTTTGCTGCTTTCTCCCAGCGGTGCACCTTTGCTTCTCTGTGATGCCACCCTGCCCTGGAATCGGCTGATTATAGACTGAAACCTCTACAGAGTGAGAGCTGAATAAACCTTTCTTCAAGCTTTGAGCGTCACGTCTTTTGTCTCAGCAATGAGAAAAGTAACTAAGACCTATGAAACATGACCTTATTTCCCAGGTCCTTTAAAGTTGGCTTTGTCCTTATCATCGCCACAACTCGTAGCTTTCGTTTGCCGGAGCACTGCGGGCACCCTCTGCTGCCGTGACTGAAGTTGCTTGAAGAAGATCACGATAATATCTTGTGGCTTGGGGTTGTCCTCAGAGGTGTTGCTGTCACATGGCCCTTGCCATGCACAGCGCTTCTTCCAGGTCCTCCCTCCTGCAGCTGCCTGGGGGTGGTGTCCCCTCCTGCACACCACCATGGTCCCTGCCCCCAGGCCTGACTCCCGCCCTGCAGCTGTGGACAAAGGGCAAAAGTACAATTTAAAGATCTGACTTGGCTTTATTTTGCATAAAGTAGAGTAAGTGTGTGGTGAGCTAAGGAGAAGTTGGTTTGGTAGAGAGAAAAGGGCTGAAAAGAACAGAAACAAAAAGCAAGCAGACTAGTCCTCTGAAAGTCACTTGCCTTAGAGAGAGTGGGATTATGAGATAAACAGAAAAACACTGATGGGGAATATCGGGTTGCTCTGTGATAGTCTTTTGTAAGGAAAAGGCCGAGTGAGCTTCTCTGTCAGGCCAGGTGAAACTGAGCTGTGTGGGAATCAGGGCTGTCACCTCGTCCTGGTCTGTCTGGGGCTTCAGATGTGCTCCACTGGGGTGCTTAGCTCGCTCAGACTGCGCCCCACAGTGGCTTGCTCTGCATCGGACTCCACCCTTCCTCCCGACCCTCCCTTCACCCCTGGGGAACAGCTGGCTCATTATGGAGAAGAGAGTCCTAAAGCTGTCTTTCATGGGTCACCAAACGGTTCATAGGACAGGGAACATGGAAAAGTCAGGACTTGGGCAGTTATCTTGTCTGAAGAGTAACTTGTGGTGATTAAAACATGTCATATTCAGACTACTTAATATTCTGGAAATTCCCTCTTCCCTGTTTTAGAAGAAGACTTACTTTGGTACCTTTCTTGGGCTCAGTGTTGTTTTTAAAAAGATACATTGGCATTATTCTCTAAGATTTAGGTTACCTGACACAGGCTGAGGCACCAGGGGCCCTCTGTTGAGGAATTCCCTGTCCTTGGCACAGGTCCACAGAGGATAGATACACGATTTGTTTGGAATGAGTACGTTAAATTCTCTAGTTCTCTGTTTTGTGGAAAAAAACAAGGGTGCTTTTGTTGCAGAGATTTGAATTATAAAAATGAGCATATGTTTTTTATCCTACTTTATCTTCCCAGCAAATTCTGTAGATTCTTTGGGTATTTGTCTGATATGCGGTTGAGGTCTGATTGTTTTTGCTGTCCTCTGATCACGCAGATTCTTTCACACAGTCAGTGTGAACGTCTCCTCGTAACCTTTTATGTTTAGAAAAGCGTCTAGTACTGTTCTGTGTCTTCTTGAGTTACTGAGGCGAGGCGAGAAGTGGCTCTCTGAATGTTTATGCTCTTGTGCAAAGGACCTGCTGGAGTTGTTGAATGGCTCGACATTTTTATAGATGAAGATGTGCTGAATATGTTCCTTTCTGTACAGAATTTGAGCATCAGTGCTACATCATTTTGAGGCTCTTTAAATGGGGCTGACAGTGGTGTCTGTTCTCTTCAGGGTTTAGGGCTTTGGTTTTACCTTCTCACAAAATGGCAGTATCAGTTTCACAGATGGTCTATTTAAGAGCAGTGTGGGACACTGAGAGTCCTGGTTCTCAGGCTGACACCTTGCCTTTTCCTTCCAGCTGCTGAGGAGCCCGTCGGTCCAGGATGGGAAACCACGTGGGAAAGCGAGAGCTCAGTGCCCAGAAGGGCAGTAAGGTAAGGCCTGAGCTACGCTGCTGGTCTGAGCTGCGCCTGTGCTCTTGGTTATTAAACACAAGGCCCCTTGATCTGACGTAAGGAAAGGGACGCTTAGCTAACTCAGCTCCTCAGTGATGTTGGGAGGAGGCCGTGTCTTTGTTCTTATTCTTATTAGTTTGTCCAGGACAGTTGTGTGAGTAGACAGATCCTGACCTCAAAAGGAAAAACAAGGATGGAAGGAAGGAGAGAAATAAGGGAGAGAAAAGAAAAAAATGGAAAAGAGAGTCAAGGACACCCAGTCCCTGTCCACGTGACATGTGATTTGTCAGGGAAGTTCTCACATAGAAGAGAGATTATAATATTTCTTTGCTGTCCAGCAAAAAGACTTCTTCTTTTTAACTTTTCCTATTTCTAGTTGTACCATATTTCCAGGTTTCACCTTAGCAGCCATGAATAACAATGTAGACCAATTCATGAGCAGTGGGCCTGACCACGTTTCCTCTTAACAACCTGATTGCTCACATTAACTTCCAGGCCTTGCCCTCCTTCCCTCCACCCCGAAGCCAAGATCTGGCTTTCTTGCGGTGTGCAGACCAAAGTCCTAAAACATGGGCCGCAGAGTGCATCCTGTGTCCCCGTGTGACCCGTATGTGCGAGACAACTGAGCTGATTGCTCACCTCTGCACTGAATGATCCGAGTTCAGACCCCTGGTGCTCAGGCCCTCCTTGTCCATCAAACCTTGCAGCTGCTCTCCAGTCCCTTGCTTCCGGGGCCCTGCTCAGCCTGACCTCCTGTCTCAGTCTCCCAGAGCGCCGTCCAGCCTGGGAGACTCATGCAGGTGCCAACCCAGGCTTCTCCGTCTGCTCTGCGTTCTGTGCTTATATGGCCTGGGCTCTGCTCCAGAACTACTGGACCATGCCTTTATACCTTAGGACTTTGGGGTAACCTTAGCATAGAGACTGACACCAGCCCCACCACAGGCTAATGGTGGCGAGCCTTTCCAGTGCTATCTGTTCCCCGTGTCCCTCCCTGCCACCTGATAGACCATTTGGAAAGTACAGACAAACAAGCAGGAATAATGCAACTCATCTGGATCCTTCCAGCTTAGTCAGAGTCAACCTGATACTTGTCTTGTACGCGATCTGCATTTCCCACATGATGCTCTCGGCAGCTTCCTCCCTCTCAGTTTCCTCCTGAGTCACTTAGGCACACAGTGCTCACATGTACCTTACTTAGAAGGTCCCCAGTGCCTCACGCTGTCTGTTACGCTGTCCGCCACTCGATACGGTGCAGGTTATTAGGAAACAGACCTGGAAGAGCATACAAACCTCTGAATCCACCTTAACTGGTAGGGACAAGAGGAACTTCAGTTCTTGGGCCCTGCCCTTGAATTTAACATAAAACCACACAAGCTGCAGCTCAAAACAAAAGGCAGTGCGTTGCGATATTAAGGATGGACCCACACCCCTCACCGACCTCTGCAGAAGTGTTTCTGAAATATCTGCTGAATTCGAAATGAGCTGAACTGTAATCTCCACACCCCGTCACCATGGGCTACAGTACTGTTGTGCTTAGTGATCTCTTTTTATTATGTTATGTTATTGTTAATGAATTTATTTGATGAACTTTATATCAGTGAGTCCTTCTATAATCTGTATTTGGACTCAATTTCTGTTAACAGTCAAATGAGTTTCCATAATTTGCTATCAGATCGTCCATGTAAAATCAGTGAGTCATTGCATCATATAATTCCGTTAAAGTGGTGAACAGTATTAACTAGTTCCTTACCTAATGGTTTAAAATATGTAAATGAAAAGTAAAAGCTGAATGGGGGTGTGTAGTTATTTTAATGCACGCTTAATTGTTTTACTGATCATTTCCTCGTAATTAACAATGACACTCAGCCCTGTGTGTTTGTGGTCAGTGAGGAACGTGGCTTGGACACAGTCTTGGGATGGGAGGATCTGGTTCCACCAAAAGTGAAAGTGGGAGGACAGCTCGGGTCTGGCACCAGGCTGTTCACAGCTCGTGGTGTTTTAGGGCTGGGAGTGCCTGATTTGCAGCTCCTTTTCTGAAATCTCCTCTGTGGCTAACAGTCTCCTTCCTGCTGTTCAACACAGTAAACCAGAATATTCTTTGAGTTTGTTTAATTCTACCAAAGTAAGATTGTTGAGCAATTTATTCTTGTGTTTTTGTTTTGTGGACCTTAAATTTTAAAGTTCTGATGACTTAAAGGCAAATTGAAAAAACTGGGAACTTAAAAACCGTGGTTCTTATAGGTAGTGTTTACATGTAAGAGCTCTTTTTTTTTTTTTTTTTAATTTATGGAGAGCATTTGGCACCTTTCAAAGTGTGCAGTCTGTGATGTGGCTTGCCACACAATAGAAAAAAACAGCATGAGCTCCCACCCTGCTGTTTATCACTTGGTACATTTCTGTTTGTGACACAAGAAGGCTTTTTTGGCCACCTATGAGAAGGAGAGCGAGGAGACCTAGCTAGCATCAGAGTGCTGATCATCCATCTGAAAACAAGGAAGCCCTGCAGGGAGTGCTGGCCCCAGCTGGTCCACCCAGGGGGCCGCCTGGCCCGGGGGGCTCCTTCCTCCTCCCACCAGCACCCCTCTCCACTGCCTTCACAGACCTTCAGCCCTGTGGCCTGCTGTAAATTGCCCCATCTGCTGATCCACTGACTGGGCCCACTGGGCCGTAAAGGAAAGGTTCTCCTTTTTGGGTGTGTGTGACACTAGGGATTGAATATGTCTGAGTTACATCCCCCACTCTTTTTTTGTTTGTTGGTTTGTTTCTTTGATAGGGTCTTGCTAAGTTGCTAAATTTTCCAGGCTGACCTGAAACTTGTAATACTACCTCTGCCTTCCAGAGTGCTGGGATCACAGGCCACCACAGCCAGTTAGGATCTCTTCTCTTACTGCTGTGCCTCCAGTAACATCCTCAGTACATATTGGTTTACAAAGTATTTTAAAGAGTAAATAAATCAGACCCTGTTTACCAACTTCGTGGTTATAGGGGAACCTCGTGTTGTGGCTAGGCTTTGACTCTGTTGCTGGTGCAGAAGGAGATGAGGGATCCTGGTCTCTTCCTTCAGGAACTTGCAGTTTGCTTTGCAGGCTTTTTATTCAGCACCTTACCCATTTGAATGAAACCTTGTCACTGGCTTGTCTGATGCCGAGGGAGTCTTGTGAGGAAGGAAGAGGAAGGCCACCGGCTGAAAGAGTAACTTCGAGATGTGGCACTGTTGGCCACATCCTGTGGGTGGGGCCCCTGGCGCAGTGCTCAGAGGGCCGTGTTCCTGTGGTCCAGCTAAAAGGGGAGTCTCAACATTGCTCAGGGAGACAGGCTCCATCATCTGCAGAATGAAACTGCTCTAGAGCATGACTCATCCTGAAGACAGTGTGTTCTCAGGATCGTCCTCATCTCAGAAACAAAGAAATCAGTGTTTCACCTTTAGGTGTCTTTTCAGTCACAGTGGGATTTAGTTTCCAGACTGTCCTATTACACCAATTCGCTAGCTTTTTAGAGGCCTGTTTGTTTCTTACTTGGTTACCATTTTTACGATAGTAACTTGGCAGAACTGGGCAGACCTGTTTTCAGCTGCCCTGGAGAGTCCAGGGAACACACTCCCAAAGCTGCCTCAGTGGGGGCACCCCCATCCACAGAGGCTGCTAGACAACATGCAGTCCCATGAGCTAAAACTAGCCTCCCACCTGGGATAGTCTTGCACCTGCCTGAGAGTCCTAGACACTTAGGCAGAGTTTCCGGGCTGGTGAGATGTGTGGCCCACCTGCCAGCTTCTTGAGGAACACGTGGTCTTTGTCAGCAACAAAAACATTGCTCCTAGGGGAGCCTACATGCTCAAAGCAGGGTCTGTGAAATTAAGCAGCTCGTAGTTTCCCCTGTGCCTTTGCTCTTTGGAGTGTTCTGGGAACAGGTGGGCCACTGCAGATAAATGGCAAGGGCTGAAGGCCCGCGTGATACGGAGCTTGCCCTGGTGTTAATTTTGGTGCGTACCATAAGTCAGGCACTGTGTAAAAACGATCTAAGAGCTTGCAACAGTTAAATTCATGTTAGAATTTGCAGTGAGGAAATAACTTAGTCTGTTTGGTTTGTTTCCATTTAAACTGTTTTGGGGTTTGTTGGTTTTTTAATTTATGTTCTGCACCAAAGCCAAGGGCATGGCAGCTGGGAAGAGGAGGCAGGTGCTGTATACCTCTCCAGGGTAATCCAGCCCCTGGCTAATCCATTAAACTATTTAATTGTCATTAAAACTCAGCTGTCTTGATGAGACTCCAGATACTAAAATGACATTCTCAGAAATGAGACATTTAGTTTGCAAATATACACAGAGGCGTTGAAGCAACTCAGCTCTTCCCATCAACATGAAAATAGAATTTTTCACTTTGACAGAGAAAATATGTTCCTAGGAAACCACAACATCCCAGCTGGGAGATGGGGCTGGCTCTTCTTCAAGTCCATTCCTTCCGGTGCCGTAAAGCCTGGAGCATTTCACCACCACAGTGGAAGGTTGTCAGGCTGTTTAACAGTGTCCTAATCTCTGCTCCTTCCTCACTCTGCTCAGGAATGAGAAGCAAGTAGATTCTAGCCCACCTTACTCCACTGCTTCTCACCTCAGGGAAACTGAGTCCAGAGAAGATGGAATCCTGTTGAGTTTCTGACGGATGTATCTGCAGCCGCAAGGTGTGCTAGTGCTCAGGGAAAGTTTATTGGACAGCTGAGTCCTGACTGGCCAGGTCATCTGCGGAGGGTCGCAGCACGTGCCCTGCCCAACTATGGGAACGTAACAGGCTTATGACTCCTGAACCAGCTCTGAGGAGGAAAGGAATTTCTCCATCCCCATTGCCCCAGAGGACAGCGGAAATGGAGTCTGGCCCCTCAGCACTCCAGGCCCTGCGCTTGGCTTCTCCACCTAGCACTTACCCATCTGGTGGCAAAAGCTATATGGAAACACCTAGTAGAAGTTCAGAAAATTCCCAGATGGAGGC